AAGTTGGACAAGAACCAAGAGAGAACTATACCAAGTGGCAGGGTAGTTAAAGTTCACAATCAAGCCTTACTGTCTGGCTTGCATATTGCTTATCCTCGTGCAGCATGATATTGATTAACAAGTTTGTGCTTTCTAGTTATGATTTCAGTGCTGGGATATCGTTGATGTTTTACCAGGTAATTAACTTTAATAGTTCTCTTTAATTGGTATAATGATTAATGATGTAGATGTTGATGATGCTAGCTTCTGACAATTTCTGTAAATGCAGAATTTCATTTCAGTGATTATTGTTTCTGTGTTGAGCCTTCTGGGCCTAATATCAACAGAGCCCCTAACATGGAGATTGGTGAAGGTCTGGTTGCCAGTTAATGTAATATTTGTTGGAATGCTCATTACAAGCATGTATAGGTATGCAGTTACCTAGTTTTGGGTTTCTACCATTAAATACAAATTACTTTTTATCCTTCCTTCTATTTATTGGCAACTGTTAGATATGGAAGTTGCATATGTACCGCTTCTTGCTGCTGTACCAACGAGTCTTGAAATCTGAATTTTTGTAAAATGTCTGAAACATTGTTATTGTATGAAAACCTAGCACAAGATGAAAGGGAGACAATATTTAAATATTCAGAAAAATTTGCTCTTATTTGGGGAGCGGGTAAGCCATAAAGAATGGTAAGCTGCTAATAATTTACTACAAGCACGAAGTGTATTACCCAGACATCTACAATCTGCTCGAGTCTTGGTTTATGGACTCGGATACTGTAAATTAGACGATTATAGCTTACGATAGAGTAATTAGGCACTCTATCATCCTGTTTGGATAGTTTTGCTGTTTTGCTTAATTTTTTTCTTTAATTGTGTGCAGTTTGAAATTTATTAACGTAGCTATGGTGACTGTTCTGAAGAATGTTACAAATGTCATAACTGCCCTTGGTGAAATGTATTTGTTCAAGAAGCATCATGACAACAGAGTTTGGGCTGCTCTATTTTTAATGGTATGTTCAAGAGCTTGTTAGTTGTCAATTGTCATATGACTCTTGTGATGACTGGATTTTGGTTATTTGATCCCAAGTTTTGTGCAGAACCACAGATTCCACGTGTTATTCTGGTTCAAATTTTAGTTTGTTGCTTGCATCTGCCTACACCTTCCTATTTTTCTTCCATTTATGCTTTGTGTTACACTTGTCAACATATTGTTTCCTTGTAGTGGTGAAACGATGCAGCAAGCATGTGCAATAAATTATGTTTCAGGCACAAAATAAATATGTTCATGCATTGTTCCTTAGCCAGAGAAAACCATCAGTCCTTTCCAACGATATATTATTATTTATTAGCTCCTCCTTTTGGTTTCTCGAGTGGATTTGGTGTTAGAGCTTACGATGGTGGCATGGTAGTGAGTAATATTCAGTATGAAATAGTTGCTGGATTGTCACTGCCTCTGTCTCCCATGTTTGACATATTTTTACAGAGGTGCTACTATGCCTACATGATTGGGTAGATTGTCTTTTGTGATTCTTAAAATATAGCTACATATTTTAGACATTGCTAGACTCAATTGATGTGCAATATTGTATACATGATATTTTATGTAACATTTAGGAGTTTTCAGTTGAAAATCTTAAGAAGTTTCCCTTTTCTGTGCAGATCATTTCAGCAGTAACCGGAGGGATAACTGATCTCACTTTTCATGCAATTGGCTACGCATGGCAGATAGTTAATTGTTTCTTGACTGCATCATATTCTGTGAGTATATAGCGTGCGTGCATGTTTATATATATGTACCCTTTTTTAAGCTTTTAACATATACTGAGTCTCTTTCCTTAGTATATGATTTTTTTTTTTTTAAATTTCTTATTCCTTTTCTCTGAAATTCCAACTTCTTGTCACAATATGCAGCCATCAATTATTTGTTTATTTCATTCTCTCTTTATAATGCTGTGCTGCATGTGTACTTCTAAACCATTTACTTAGATCCGATAATGACAGGCATCACTTCTACTCCATTTAATCATCCTTAGTGAGAATCGTTTTAAAATGTTTGAAGTTTGACAGGGTAATTGCCTGAAAAGGATTTCTAGACTCAGTTGTTATTTTACTTTTGCACGTTGACATTCTAGACTGGGAAGAATTTAGCTCGGTTTGGTATAGAAGGATAATTTACTTTGTTCTAGAGTGTTAATGTAGATGGATGCTAACTATTGGCTTTTAATTGATTGTTTGGCTGTTTTATTTTGTTGCTGCAGTTGACTCTGCGCAAGGTCATGGATACTGCAAAGCAAGTTACAAAATCTGGAAATTTGAATGAGTTTTCAATGGTCTTGTTGAACAACACTCTTTCTTTGCCTCTGGGATTGCTTCTGATTTTTGTTTTCAATGAGGTGGATTATCTCATGAGAACGTAAGCCCCACTTTTTGTAAATGAAATATTATGTGCCTTGCTTAACTTTATATTCTGAAAAGGCAGTCATATTCCGTGTTTCTGCTTGTGTAACCCAATTATGTTCCAATATCTCATATATATCGGCAGTCTCCAGAAACGCGTTATTGCCTTAAATTCATTAGGTCATGTTAATGGCTAGAAATCTATTCACTCCTTATCCATGGCAATTGATGTTGTGAATTTTACTTGACAGACCACTTCTGAGATTGCCTAGCTTTTGGTTAGTGATGACCTTAAGTGGATTTTTGGGGCTTGCGATCAGCTTCACATCCATGTGGTTTCTTCATCAGACAGGAGCTACGACTTACAGGTGTGGTCAAAAGTAGCTTCATTATTACTATTTAACGGAATTTAACCCAGGAATAATGTTGGTACTTTCTTTCTGTAATTATATCTAGTTTCCAGTGCCAAGCCATATTATAGAAGAAATGCGAGTGTTTTATTATCTAATCACTAGTCTATGATCTGCAGCCTGGTTGGTTCGCTAAATAAGATCCCTCTGTCAATTGTTGGCATCCTTCTCTTCAAAGTTCCCACTAGCTTGGAGAACTCTGCTAGCATCTTCTTCGGTTGGTTCTCTACATCAACTGACCTGAAATTGCTATTGTCTCTGCATGGAGGACATTTAACTCAATTTGAATCACATTTTACTGCAACTTGTAGGTCTTCTGGCAGGAGTTATTTTTGCAAGAGCCAAAATGAGGGAGAAATCTCAACCATGAAAAACCCTAAATTGCATAATGATAACGTTTGCACCAGAGAGAACCCTTGTTCATTTATGGGAAATTATATTTCTGAATGAAGTGGAGGTTGAAATCATGCCTCTGAGATACCATCAAGATATACTATCAGCTAAATTGATGGCCCTCTCTGTACATGCAATCACTTAAATGGGGTTGATTAATGTACCCTTGTGCATACAGGTACGGGACTGTGGTTTAACTTTTCTTTTTCACTGTGTGAAAAAAATGGAGTGTGCAAGTTTCTGGTCCACGTTTTTGTGGATCTTCTGGGGGGATTGCAATGAATGACTCGCGTTGGGAGGAAAAAAAATTGCCACAGCTTTTTCTCGGTCTGTTTCTGTATAATGTACCTACTTGTATCCATGTATCATCAAGATTGGTTTAATACGAATACGAACACACTCTTGGGGAAAGTGAAAATTTGAATCTTGTGTTTAGGGTTAGACCCCGATTCATGAGCTATTTTTTCCCCATGGCGTTTGATGAGAGCGAGTTGACTACGGTTTATTGATTGATCTGTTTAACTTCCAACGAAACCGAGGAATAGAATCCCTTCCTCAGAATATCAAACAGCTTGCCAGTGCCGAAAAGCATTTTTTTTTAATCCTACTTAAATCTTTATATTTGGCAAAATAAGAATTTAAGATTTTCGATATAATAATATTTGTTGTCATTGTAATTGTTGTTTATTCATTATAATAATAAGTGGTCAAACAATACTTGAAACAGAAAATAAACAAATCAATACATCAATTCAGTTTAAAATATAAATAATCTGACAAGTTGTAGATTTACAAACGATAAAATTTGTTTGATAAGAAACATCTGATAGATTTATATACAGAAAGTAGTAGTTTACAAAATTATTTTTCACAGGTAAAAATTTTGTATGAGAGACTTTTCATAATTTTTTTAAGAATTAATGTCATTTTTGTCTCTTAAATTTGTTTTCATTTCAATTTTAGTCCCTTAAATTTTAAATAATAAGTTTTAAATCCATCTAGGAATAAAATAATCCATATTTTTATTAAATTATAAAGATCAATATTTAAATAAAAAATTTGAGAAGAATTAAAATTAAAATGAAAACAAATCCGAGTAATAAAAAATTATATTATTATTTTTTTAATTTTTAATAAATAAATTTAGTTCAAAATGGAAGTTGTCGTCGATAAAATTAAAAAGATCAACTCCCAGAATGCTTGCTTAATTTTTACAGTTTGTCTCTTGTTCACAGGGTCGACCGGTCGAACGACCGTGCAGTTTGATAGCTCGTTCCAATTTGCCATTTTGTGTTCCGTAGGACGGTAGAAGCGAAGATCTTCGTCGCTCTCAGGCGTTGAGTGTCTGAGTCTGAGACTCAGAGAGCCCCTTTGTGAATTGTGATCTCGATAATGGAGGCATCACAAAGCGACAATCCCAATTTTAATCCAAACCCTACTCCGGTCGGGAATTCACTATCGTCTTCAGTTCCTCTCTGGCCGACTATCGATGGCCCACTTGGCCTATCCGAGGATGACGCACTCAGTTACGCCCGCAAATTTTACAAGTTCGGTTTCGCACTGCTTCCTTTGCTTTGGGCCGTCAATTGCTTTTACTTCTGGCCTGTTCTCCGCGACGCTCACTCCTTCCCTCGCATTCGCCGCTGTATGTTCCTTGTTCTCTTTCTGGTCTTTTGTTATATACTTGGTAATTCTTTTTCTGATTTTGTTACAAGTTTGGTGATTTTGCTTTGTTGTTCTCGCTCCTGGCTTCTTCGGGTTTTGTTTTTTCTTTCGGTCCGTCATTTCACTGTTGATTTTTCAAGGTTCAGTTGTGAGGATTTTGCTTCTGAGTTCTGACAAGTTAGATTTCAGCCATTTTCTTTATGAGTTAACCTTTCCAATGTTTTTTAGGCGTCATTGACTTGTGAACTTTTGGAGAAAATGAAAGAGGAGGAAAAGAAAATGAAAGAGATTAAAGTTGAAATGGAGTCTAGATATGATGCATATATTAATTCGTCCCTGATTGTCATTTGGATCACTTTTGTTCCCTTGCTCTTTTCTTTCTTCAGCAGAGGTCGTGTTCTGTGCTAAATTTCTGATGAGTAACGAGTATCAGTGTCCAGTTTCATTCTAGCAGTAAAAAGTGACATCTTCTTCACCCTTTTACTAGTCTTGAAGTAATTATGTTAGATAGAAAAACTGTCTCTCCCATCTACTGTGTAATTGTATCTTTGGTCTGCTTTAGCCTTTAGGAGAAATGGCTTGTTTACAAAAGCTTGTAGTTGAAATTATCCGTTTATACAAATGCATGGGTTTTTGCACATTTGAGCTCCCGAAAATTGCTTGCTTGTTGGTGTCTTGTCATTAATAAGGAAATAAGATTTCCATTTTGGTGTTAATAAACTGGTAATGAAGGGGAAATGAAATTTTAATAAAAGAATATGTGCTGCAGCTAATTATTACTTTTAATTACTTTAAACATTCTATTGTTTGAGAGTTTGTAAATTCACTCATATATTATTTCATATGATCCCGGTACAATATATAGAGTCCGGATGGAAATATGCAATCCGGTTACAATCAATAATAATAATGCAAAGAGATTACAATCAATCAGAATAATGCAATATCACAAGAAATCAGGAACTTATTCTAGGTAATTATAGAGTAAATCAAGGGAGAATATAGGGGAGAAGATCACGGCTTCTAACACTCCCCCTCAAGCTGGAGAGTAAATGTCAACCATTCCCAGCTTGCTTCGAAGCCCTTCAAACTTGACTCTGGCCAACGGCTTGGTCATGATGTCAGCAATCTGATCAGTTGAACGCACATGGTTCAAGTTAATGGTGCCATCTTCGACCTTTTCTTTGATGAAGTGCCGATCAATGTCAACATGTTTTGTTCGGTCGTGATACACAGGATTTTTGGTCATTTCAATGCTTGCTTGGTTATCACACCAGAGATTCATAGGTCCTTCATAGGAAATTCTCAATTCCTTCAGGAGTCTAATCACCCACATTCCTTCACATACCCCGAGGGCCACAGCTCTTAGCTCAGCTTCAGCACTGCTCCTTGAGACTACTGTTTGTTTCTTGCTTCGCCAAGTGACTAGGTTTCCCCAAACATAAGTGCAGTATCCTGTGACTGATCTCCTGTTATCCACAGCTCTCCCGTGATCTGCATCAGTGTAGACCTCTATGTTCCTTGTATTCCCCTTTCGAAAGAATATTCCTCTTCCAGGATTGAGTTTGAGGTAGGTGAGGATTCTGTATACTGCTTCCATGTGTTCTTCCTGGGGTTGATGCATAAATTGGCTTACCACTCCAACTGCATAGCTAATGTCAGGCCTTGTATGAGTCAAGTAGATCAGTTTACCCACAAGTCTTCTGTACCTTTCTGAGTTAACTGGTGTCCCGTTGGTTTCACTTCCAGATTGCATGACTCTTCCATAGGAGTCTCACTAGGCTTAGCCCCAAGTATTCCTGTTTCGTGGAGTAAGTCAAGTGTGTACTTTCGTTGAGACACACTTATACCCTTTTTGGATCTAGCAACTTCCATTCCAAGAAAGTACTTCATTTGTCCTAGGTCCTTCACTTGGAATTCCCTAGCCAGGGCTTTCTTGAGATGGGAGATAGAAACCTCATCATTGCCAGTTATGACTATATCATCCACATACACAATTAGGATCGTTACCTTTCCATCACTGTGTTTGACGAAAAGAGTGTGATCAGCTTGTCCTTGAATGTAACCAAATCTTTTGATTGCTTTGGCAAACCTGTCGAACCAAGCTCGTGGAGACTGTTTCAGGCCATACAATGATTTCTTCAATTTGCAAACTGAGTTGGGTGGAGCTATTACTCCATCTGGAATTTCCATGTATACTTCCTCCTCCAAATCTCCATTTAGGAAAGCATTCTTCACGTCTAGCTGATGTAGAGACCAGTCAAGGTTAGCAGCAAGGGATAGGAGTACCTGGATGGTGTTGAATTTTGCCACAGGAGCAAACGTTTCTTGATAATCAATCCCATAGGTCTGAGTGTACCCTTTAGCCACTAATCTTCCTTTGTACTTGTTGATGCTTCCATCAGGATTGAATTTAGGGGTAAAGATCCACCTACAGCCCACTGCTTTCTTGCCCTTAGGAAGTGTGGTAATATCCCACGTGTTGTTTTCCTTCAAGGCTCTTAACTCCTCATATGCAGCATGTTTCCAATTAGGATCTGTCATAGCCTGTTGAAATGTTTCTGGAATCTTCACCTGTGAACTATTCACCACAAAAGTTTGCATTCGTGCAGATAAATTGCCATAGGAGACAAATTTTTGAATAGGATGCTGAGTACATGATCTTACCCCCTTCCTGAGTGCAATAGGCCATCCCAGCTCTTCAGGATCCAACTCCGGATTGGAATCATGTTGCTGCCTTGGAATGGAAGGAACCCTACTACTTGATTGAGAACTTGAGTGCTCTGTCACCCCTGCATCAATTTCAGCATTGGTTTCCATTGGGTGAGGAGTGTTTGTGGTGTTTTGGGTTTGTGATTCTGGTTCAGGGATTTCTTCTTGAGGTGCGGAAGATTCAAGAGGGTTAAGAGGTAGGTTGGAGGTGGTTATCGGTTCAGGTGTAATTAGCCATTCTACTCCATAGTGCTCCCCCTGAATGGGTAATTTGGGGTAGTAAGCGTCATCCTCGTAAAAGACGGTATCTTTGGAGATGATGAGTTTTCTGGTAGTAGGACTATAACACTTATACCCTTTTTGGGTGGAAGAATACCCGAGGAAAATACATTTTTCTGCTCTAGCACCTAGTTTGCCGCCATCATGTTTATGAACAAAGACAACACACCCAAAGATCTTTTGGGGAATGGAATTGATGATAGGTGAGGCGGGGTAAGTCTCGAGGAATTTCTGAATTGGGGTAGTGAAATGGAGGATTTTGGAGGCCATGCGATTGATAAGGTAAGCTGCGGTCAATACAGCATCTCCCCAAAACATATTCGGAACGTTTCTTTCCATCATAATAGCTCGAGTCACTTCCAAAAGATGTCTATTCTTTCGCTCAGCAATTCCGTTTTGTTGGGGGGTATAGACACATGAGGTTTGGTGATGGATTCCTTCCTGCTCAAGAAATTCCCTAAAGGCTCCACTCACGTATTCTTTGGCATTGTCACTTCTCAAAACTTTGATGGGAGTATGGAATTGGGTTCTCACAAACGAGCAAAAGTTTTTGAAAATTTGTAAGGCTTCGGATTTCTCTTTCATAAGGTAAACCCATGTGACCCGGGTGTGATCATCTATGAATGTGATAAACCACCTTGTGCCTGTTCGGGTGTTGGTTTTGGCAGGTCCCCAAATGTCGGTATGGATCATTGTGAACGGGGCAGTAGGTTTGTAAGTATGTTTGGG